CGCATATGACTACATCTACGGCATCAGAGCTTGCTGCTATAAGGGCTGCTTTACAATATCTCGTTCAAGAACGTCCAGGAAAATGGGTCATATTCTGTGATTCGAAGGCAGCGCTTCAGAGTTTGCAGTCTGCCATACGTAGGAGGAGTCATGACCAATTGGTACAAGAAATAAGACATTGCCATCATGAAGCTCTAGCACGAGGGCATGATATTATATATCAATGGATGCCTGGACATATCGGTATTACCGGAAATTAATTAGCCGATGATGCAGCCCGCTCAGCCCATGAAGGAACCCGTGTAGTCCCGATTCCTCTATCAAGGAATGATGCAGCAAGACAACTTTTCCTGCTGGCTCGAGATTTCACACGCACGTTCTGGTCGTCTACCAGCTTCCAAAGGTGTCAATTTTATGAACTGGATCCTTCGCTCAAGCTAAAACTACCATCACAACTTTCCCGCTCCGATGCGACACTGTTATGCCGCCTTTCGTTGGGTGTTGCATTTACAAAGGTGTACTCCTTCCGCATTGGTATGGCAGACACTCCTACATGCGACTACTGCGGAGCTGAAGAGACCATCGAACACGTCCTGTACAGCTGCGCTTGCTACGACACACAGCGATGCCAGCTCCGGATGGTTTTGTATCAACTTGACCCCGGACCATTTTGTGTGCAGAAGATACTGGGACCTTGGGCATCTGCCTCAGTTGCGCAGAAAGCAACTAAAGCACTGCTAATTTACCTAAAGTCAACAAACCTGAGCGACCGCCTGTAGACTGTGTGTGCTCCCCGAGTGTGCTCGTGATTGTGTGTACCTTCTCATCTCTCTGCAACCTCTTTTCTCCCCTTTATTCCTTCCCCAGTGCAGGGTAGCAAACCGGATGTGAGTCTGGTTAACCTTCCTGCCTTTCCTTGCATCTTTATCTCTCTCTCTCTCTCTCTCTCTCTCTCTCTAGTGCGCTCGAATATGACTGACTCTAGTTGTCACTACGGGGAAGGAGGACGCAATAGGTGTCGACATTTTCATTATGCCGAAAATCACTTAATGAATAAATGAATGAATAAATGAATGAATGAATGAATGAATTGCGTGGTGCGTATTCTATTACTATCATGGCGCCTGTCAAAAGACGGGATATTCAGGCTGTGCGAATCAAACAGAAAAAAAAATGTGCCAACAGCTTGACAGTTTACAGGGTAAATGTTTGCGCTGCGTTTATGGCGTTTCCCCTTTATTTTGTACGGACTATTTCAACGCGATGCTGCGAAAACGACGCGACAACTCGGACCAACCAAAATGTGACTGTATTTGCACGAAACGGGAAAGAAAACTGCTTTCGCTTCATTATAACGCATAATACAGAAGTAAAAGTGCACTAGAATTTCACCGGAATTCTTTAAATAATATAAATGAGACTTCAGGCAATTCGACAAATAACAAGCTTTACTAATTTCACCGGCATCCTGTGTAGGTAAATGTACGCCATATGTTTTGGTAAGCGATAACTAAATGCCAGAAACCAATGGATGTCCTTAATAATTAAGAGCACGGAGGCTAACAATGTAAGCGTTTAAGTGAACCAATAAAGGGTAGTTTAATTATATTTTAGTAAGAACCAGTAAAAATCTAGTGAAATACATCCCTGTGCCTCATATTTCAATGATAAGAGTCAAGTCCTCAACAATATACTAAAAAAAAACAGCCATAATGATACCCTTTGATTCAAGATTTTTAATAAACGTGAAGAATTATTAGAAAATGATTCCTGCTTTTAGGATTGCCCTTAATAGGTCTACATTATGAAAAAAAAAACAAGAAACAGATTCGTAGCCACGTCTCAGAATTTTCTGGCGAAATGATGACGTCTGGCTGTCCGAGACGCCTTGTTTTTCGCCGAGGCAAGGCGGAAGAAGATTTCCTTATTTCAAAATGGGCCAAATGTCATCCCACTAAAATGTTTCTTCTCGCGATGACTTTTTAAAATGCCAATCACGAGAAGCGGTCAGCAGCCGCTGATGTCACTGCGAGAACGGAACAGAGAAAGACAGATACACTTGATGAAGGGGACGGTTGCCGTGTGACGAGTTGGCGTGCGAAACGCTCAAAGATTATTATTGTTTTTGACGCAGTAACATTTTGCGAGTATTCAGCGACGTGCTTGAGGCACACACACCCTTCTCAAAGGTTGTTGCGGGGCGGCAAAACCGGTAAAGCGGCGTGGCATGATTGGTTGCCCAGCGCGGACACATCCTCTCGCACGCCAATGTGAAGAGGCGTGGAGCTTCGATCGAGGGTGAGAAGACTGGAGCCACACGGAATGAACATGAGCTATTCGGAGCCCTGTTCCCCTTCCGCAGAAAAGAGCTGTGACATTTGCACCACAACTTTAGTGCCGGCAGGAAGGGGCGGCAGGAAGGCGAACAAGAAAGAGGCCAGGCACCTCAAAGAAATCCTCGATTGTGGTGGAAAAAAAAAAAAAATACTGAACTCGAAGTTTTATTTCAGTGCAGGAAGTGCTTGAATTCATGGAAGCGGTTGTTGACCTGCACAGGTCACCGACTTGCAAGTAGGCAAACAACGAGAACTTTTTGACACCGACGCACTCGTGGGGTAAAAGTGCAGTGCTGAACGACAAAGAGACGATAGGGCGAAGGATGTAGGGAAAGCAAGAACATTCGATATCTAAAATAAAGTGTCTTTAAAAAGGTTGCGTGTAAACTAGTGTAAACCATTTATAACCCAACTAGTGAAGGTCGATAGATATAGATGAAATCGTCACTTTGGTTTTTGTAAATTCGGTAAAAAATGAGGTTAACTTGAGTGGCACCCAATGGTGTCGAAAAGCGATGTTGCATGTCCCGGTTAGCACTTAGAGCAATAAAAAGCACTTTTTTATTGTTTTAGATAAGACATTACCATGTTTGACGTTTGGCATAAGCTTGATATAAAATGGTGCTAGCGGGTGTTCCTACCTCTTTCAGGATGTCTTAGATTAGTAACGAACTTAAACATTTATTTGCGTAGTTGCACACCCGGCATGTCGCTGCAGTGACTGCTTTGTAAATGCTGGCTATGATTTGCCGTTGGCGAGCCTTGGCGAATCAATTCACGATGCTGTATTAATTGCTATGCATTTCATAAAACATAACGCGGGCTTCAGAATAATTTGATAACACGCAGACGCCTTCGATTGTAGGCTGTTTGGGTCGCAACAAAGAGAGAAAGAAATCAAAAAGAACAGGAAGGCAGGGAGGTTAACCAGAAGGTTATTTTGTATGCTACCCTGCACTGGGGCTGGGGAATAAAGGATGCTGCTTAGGTTAGTCATGTGGCAGATATGAACAGATCTGTGGAATCTTGCAAAGAAAGGAAGGAACAGGAGGAAAAGAAAATGCAGGAATATTAACCAGTCTAGAAGGACTGGTATGCTACCCTACTCAATGAAAAAAGGGTGGGGGAGTTTGAAGGATACAAGAAACACCTAATAATGTTAAGCGCCCGAAGTGAATAATAACATTAAAGTACTTTCCCATCTCTCCCTATACAGTGTATCCACCCTGCTTGGCGCCTGCTTTTTGTGGACAGAAAGGACTGACGAACGCCGTGTAAGCATGTGTAATAATGCTCAGTGTAGCTTAATGTATACCATGGGCCCATGGGTATCTGCCACTGTCTGGCGGGAAGTGTTTGACGACGTACGTGACGTGATTGTAACATTATTCGTGTCATGAACAGCACGTCATATTCGTCAAACTATATTCGTCAAACCGTTATAGCGTTTACTCATATCAGGAGCACGAAAATGCAATGTTCTTTCCAGCAGTTTGTTAACGCTTTTGACTAGCTGTGCTAGCTTAGCAGTTAATGTGTTCTGCAGCTAAGTTTGAGGACGTGGGTTGAATTGCTGACTACGGCAGCGCCATTTCAATGGGCACGGAATGGAAAAAAGAAAACACCACTTTAGATTTAAAATCCCAATAAAGAATAAACAAGGATGACAAAAATAATTCAGAGGCCCCCGATATTGCGTGCCTCGCAATAATATTGTTGTTTCAGCACGTAAATGCCTTTATAATGTAATTTTCTGTGCGCCTCATTTCCCTTAGTTCAAAAGAGCGTCATCGACGTTCCTTTTCGTATCCGTACAGACAATGATGAGCATACAATGCAATCAAGCATCTGAAAGGTTGTCCGCAGGAAATACGGGGCACATTACCGCGAGCTTGTGGGGTTCTTGTGTTGAAACTTGGATAATGAAAAGCCCAGGACCTGTATTCACGTAAAGTCTTACGCTAAAACGTTCCTAAGAGAACGATTGAACCAATAATGACGCTATACACGCCATGACAGAAGCCTGCCGATCGGGAGAAAAGCGCTTACGAGAGATAAGTTTTGTGAATCAGGCCAACCAGTAAACTATATAGGAATATGTAGCTGAGTTGAACGAATTTTACGCACAAGGGCTTTTTGCCACTGATCTGTGGTATATATGCCCGACATGGAGTCAGTTGGCGCGTGGTCTTATGAAGAATAGCATGAGAATATTTCTGTGATCAGGAGCAGTGCTTATGGAGCCATTAAAATGCCAGCTTTCACTCTCACATGGCAGCATGCGGAGGTACAAGCATTTAAAGAGAGACGCGGTCCACTGCCTTGAGGCAACGCTGCAGATGACCTCATCTTTCACAAGAGCATTTAAATATGTATACTGCAATGTCGAAGTGGCTATACGAAGCACCGGCCGCCCCAAAAGAACACACATTTCCACTGCAGATCATTTTGAGTGGGCTACACAGACCGAAATAGTAAACTCGGAACTTGTGCTCGCGAAGAGCACGCGGCGCTTCCCCGTCCGAGGTCGCAGGCCGCCTACACCGGCTCTCACAAATACTGCCAATTGAAACTGCGAAAATATCGCTTGTTATAAGGCCGCCGTAGAGTGAGAAAAAGTTGTTAAGAAACCTTTCAGAATTCGGCCAAAGGATCTGCACTCGCAAGGCAGTTCGTAAGCGATAGCTTGACTTGCAAGTTCTGCTTTAGCGAGTGAGGTCGACCGTGACCGAGAACCCGCGCGCACACCTAACGTGGACTGAGAATAACGAATTGTTACGAACTTCGGTGCATGGGCTGAACTAGCAAACACTTCTTTCTCGTAAGTTCATTTTCCCATTGGTTGGATGGCTTTGATAAAGATTTGTCCCGCATCGTCATTCGTTAAAATATCCGGTTACGAAAATTTTTAGAATATACGACGTTTTTGTGGATACGTTGTGCAGGTTTTGCGAATCGAACTCACTGGCCATTGGTTCGTATAAGGTTGTGGCGCCGTCTAGTCACCAATACTTGAATAATATTAGCAAAATGCGACAGGTCGCTTTATGCACGTTCTCATAGAATAAATAATTTGTTAATATAACCTATATAGGGCTGAACTCACAAATTGTTTGGCGCACACGTGTAGTTTCCACTGGTTAGCAGCGTTCATAGATAATATGTCCGAAATCAAGCTTTCGTCCATTCTGGTGACAATATTTAGGCTACGGATTTTTATCGTGAGTTCGTGCCTAGACAGCGTATCTCGAAAGAAAACTGATACAACTACTTGGTTTTTTGAGGGTGACTTTCAGCCAATCCTAACACCGGAGAGAATGACAGTGGTAACTTACGAACAACAAGCTTATTTAATTAGCCTCTAGAGGTATTGTAAGTACGATCTAGTATTTCTGTTGTCTAAATCATTGCCTACAGACATTGAATTAGAATTTCATGAATTTTGAAATTGAATTTCATAAAATGTTCAAAACAAGAAGTTGATTTAGAGTAAAGTAAATTTAATTTTAAAATTTTAATGCCTGCTTTATGTCACTTTTAGATGAACTTAAGTGTAAACATAACACGCATTAAATTTCCTAGAGAAGCCTTTTTTCTATCATGTCATCATCATAGCGTTCTTAATCTAGAAAAAAGCCTCGTTTCAGTTTTTTTTTTAAAAGGAGGAGGGAACAGCAGACGCTAGCGGCAGCTAAACGGCGTAGTGTGTCTGACACTCCGGCAAAGCAACCACCTTCCCTAAAGGTAGTTTTTTTTTTCGTACGGAAACAAACACTACGGCACGCTTGAGGCATGCTTATGTTCGACAAGCCCAATGACAAAACGGTAGCGGAACCAATTGTTCCAACAAGGAAGTGCACCCATAGAGTGAACTTCAATTCTTTTTTCAACTTTTTGTACGCATACGACCGGTGCAGATACAATTTGACATTGCAGGCATTTACTCTCGTTATGCCTCTCAAATACAGAGTATCAAATCACTACTTAAATCATCACTCACGTGTAAAAGTGATGGCTGGTATGGTACAGCATCCCGCATCGCTCGATTCCATTTCGAATTCTTATCTGTCATTACGGCAGATATTCGATTAATTGATATGTGAGGTTTAACGTCCCAAAACCATCATATGATTATGAGAGACGCCGTAGTGGAGGGCTCAGGAAATTTCGACCACTTGGGGTTCTTTAACGTGCACTCAAATCTGAGCACATGGGCCTACAACATTTCCGCCTCCATCGGAAATGTAGGCACTGCAGCTGGGATTCGATTCCGTGACCTGCGGGTCCGCAGTCGAGTATCTTAGCCACTAGACTACCGCGGCGGGGTGTACGGCAAATCTTGGTGATCGTGCAGCGGGTGTCACTGCGGCATTTACCAAGGTTCCACACAAATAGCCATAGAAAGAGAATTTAAATACATATGGGCTTGAATTTTTGCGAGCTACGTAAATATATTGAGGGTCCGAGCTAGTATTTAGTAGTGATTGATTGCTTTTACATTCATTTTTATTGCCAAGAATTACGAGCGGGCAATCCTATAGCTATAACGGGGTTTCGTAGGCAGTGGATTTATGTACGAGCCAATGAAAGTGGGTGAAAACAGAGGAAATTTAGCAAATATAGGTTCCATCAACCCAAATTACGACTCGTTTCATCACGACGCACGAACTTAGCAGCCAATGTGAGTTACAGTGAAAAAAAATACAAATTGGCAGATCCCACATACCTGGAAATCGACGTTATGCGAACAATGCGGAGGGAAGGTGACCGTGTTGCATTTTTTTTATTGAGCGATACGTCATGACATTACGCTAAATATATGTACAAATTTTGCACACACAGACATATGTTGAAGAGCTGCAGATGTTTATTTAACCAGTTGTTTGCACTTGCGCAACGATGTCAACTGGTACATTCGTATTAGCAACACCAGAAGCTGATATGAAGCGCTGATGCTTGGGAAAACCTGGCCCTGGGCACTGCTACATAAATCAACTTCAGAGCATGGCACCTAACCACAACTGACGTTAACCCGAAATGACGGCTGTATCAAAAAAGCACATACCTAATGTTTATAAAATTGGGTAGGCAGCACTGAAACCACTACTGACGTTTCACGAAGATTAGCGTCTATTCGAAAAGTAGTTCTGAAACCTGGCGTAGCTCTGTGATAGAATGCTTGACTGCCACGCAGAATGCTTGGGTTTGATTCCTGCTGGGACCCTGAAATTTATTACTCGCATTGGTCGGGACGTCAAAGCTGTCTATGTCAGGTTTCTATAAACACTTACATTTATTCTATGCCTTCATTGGGTCGATGCGACTAATGTCGGGTATTGCTTAACGCTCACGCGTTAAAATTGCTATGTTTGTTGTCGTCGTTCCTGGGTACATATATGTGTCTATCACCTGTGGCACATACTCGCATACCAGCGGCACATACCCGCATGTGGGTATGTGCCACTGTCTGGCGGGAATTGTTTGACGACGTTCGCGACGGGATTGTAACATTATTTATGTCATGAAGAGCGCGTAATATTCGTCAAATCATCTTACTCTCCCATGCTAATTGTGGTTCACGCCATTTTAAAGGGGTGACCACGAGAGCACCCCTTTAAGCACCTACGCGGCTAGATAGATAGATAGATAGATAGATAGATAGATAGATAGATAGATAGATAGATAGATAGATAGATAGATAGATAGATAGATAGATAGATAGATAGATAGATAGATAGATAGAATCGCTCAAAGTGACTGCAGTTTACTGAGAAATGCTTCACCCCTAATACTAAGCTAACGCATACGCACTACTTCGAAAATTAGTTCTTCCCATTGGCCCACTACCTTCGATTAACAAAATCAAGCATCATCATTTTCCTCGATTGGATCGCTCAAATAGTTTTGACGTATCAAGACTTGCTTGCAAATGCGAACCAAAATCCCGTATTCTCACAAACGTTCGTTCGTTCGTTAAAACTCCTCGTAACTACCGGCACTACTTAAATACATTGGTAAATGTTTCAACGCTCATCTGTGGAAGTTCCAACCTTCTCAGATCGGGAGATAACTAAAGCTGAGTTGCCAAATGATACCGCCTGCTTCGGTGAGGTGACCCCGCCCTATGGTCTGAAGCGGATGACGTATAGGGCGCTTCAGATTTTAAGCTTGATTATGCACTTATGTGTCAGTCATATAATTCAAGTAAAAACACATCGCAGGCAGGTGTATGCTGAGAAGTAAGTATTTTCGAAATAAGCATCGGCGAGTCGCGATGTCCAGTAAAATGCTTGGCTGAATTTCAAGATGATTCTTTTCCTCAATATCCCTTTTGCGAGACGTCGCCAAACTCGACCCACATGAACCAGTGAAAATTTGAGATTGCAATCAGTGTTTTTTAAATTGTGCGACTTTTTTATGCTTGAAGTGTTGCAAAAATGGAGCAATAGTTGAAAAGCAAAGTACGGTAATGCTTGAGGAACGTGTGGTACCTAAGCAAGGTATGGTACCTAAATCAAGTCATAATACATAATGCGTGAGTATACGATAGGTTTTTGGCTAGATTGGTGGAGGGTAATAAAACTGGGCACATCAGCGTCGCTTAGTGCATGTTAGTTACGACTAATTAGTGTACGATGAAACAATCACTGTGTAAAATAAATTCAAAGCCAATATTAAGAAAACATGCAGCTGGTTCAAGTCTCGCTCTGGGTTACTGAAAGAAACACCTCCCAAAGTAAGAGATATGAGATAAAACAAAACAAGGAATTTACTTTAGCGCTTACCTGCAAGTTATACTAAAATATACATCACGAGCAAAACAGATTTTATAAGTTTCATATCTTGATGCTAGTGTTATATTCAGTAATGTGACTGTTTGGGTTTGACAAAACATATCAGTAAACTACGGCGGTGACAGACAGCATTTTTTTCTTCTGTACACGTGTCATTCTGCGCTACGATTTGCACATGCATTATTATCAAGTTTGTATGGTATTAGAATCTCTGCACCAGACTGGGGCGCTTTGTTTCACACTTCATCTTCTCGCGATAAATATTCGTGCTACACGCTTCGCAGGCAAGACACTAATGCAGCTTCACGATGGCACTGCTGCCTGCAAAGGACCACTATGTTTCTGTTTTTATTGCAAACGACCCCATTGTTCTTAGCCTGGGCAGAGTCACCACTTTCCCCATTTCTCCACAGTCGCTGCCTTAAATAATACACAATAGCTAACGGTGCATCCTGATAGCTCTAATCACCGAGTTCTACTGGTTGCTCAACCTTTCATTGTCTTTACGGGAAAGCAGGCTCATTGCCCGGGAACATGGCGTTACCCGCTTTTATTAGTGGCCATAGTAACTCCACAAATTTCTCATCTCCTGCCGTAACTCTTTCCATCTCATGCTTTCGCGCGAATAACACGCCAGAGAGGTTTTTTCGAACGCGACGCTGATGGCCACCACGACGACAAATCAAGCAGATCAGTGACAAAGTGGCCGCTACATCCGTCACGAACCAATGAACGGGCACCTGACCTGCCGATTGGAGCCACACAATGGCTGTCAGCGGTGAAAAATTATATCGCGACGCCCCTGGACGCTTTGTCGCGCCTGTCGTCCGCTTGTCACATTCTCGAGCAGGCGACCGATGCCACACCACTCGTCCGCAGCACGAGGCTGAAGAACCGCATTGGACGACGTCAAGACTGCAGCAGGCGGCGCCGACGGGTGTGTCGCGATTGTCGTGTGCGAATGGGGTTGCTCTGCGCTCATCTGTCATTCCGATGGCTGGAAGATTCGATAGCTTGCGCACAGGAC